AGAAACAAATCATGATCTTGTATTTGGAGACTTTATTGGAGATTTATGATATTAGAGCAAATTATAAGATTTAATCTTCAGATTTTGATGGTATCAGAGTACGATATGATTAAGTTCCGAGCCTTGTGCATTTGTGGGACCCGTCTCACGAGTGCACGGCGTCTGTTGCGCCTCGGATTTGGGTTCTGGGGGGTGACACATTTAATGCCTAATGGTAAAATTTTTTAAAGATTTTTTAATATTTCAAAATTGAAGTTTTTAAGTCGGCTTTGAGATTTGTAGTTGACTCTAAAGAAAAATAGAAGGTTCAACTCCTCCAAGATAGCTAGCTTTAAAATTGATAGCCAACTATAAAAAGCTGGCTCTAAAGGTATAGTTGACTTAATGGTTAAATTCTATAGCATCTTTTCTCACACCTCAATTCATCTACAGTGCATTAAATAGACTCTAGCAACTATAAATGGTTAGTTTTGAGTATATCTCTATATATAAATATGATTGGTAAACATCTTGGAGAGCCTTAAGACACATATTAGAAGATCAAAAACAAGAGTGGAGCTTAGATTTGCAAATCCTTTCAAGAGTTTGAGTTTGCACTTGCAATTTTAATCTTTGAGAGATTATATCGTTTGTAATCTTTTTTTCTACCTTTTCTTTATGATCTTGGCAATAAGTGAAGCTCCAAGAAAAGATACTTGAGGATAAGTGAAATCTTCAAAAGAGAAACCAAGTGAGGTTTATTAGGGTTCTTTGTAAAAGAGAGTGTTTGAGTGAAAAACATATTGTTAAAAGGATTGGATAACTCCTTTAAGTTACTTCTAAGCACTAGTGGAGAGTGTGGGGGGAAATCAAGCCAAGGTAGAGGATTATCTACCAAGTGATTGGGCTAAACCTCCATAAAATCAATTGTGCAAGCTTTTTTTCTCTACTCTCTTTGTTTTTCATCAAGTGGTTGCAAAAGGAAAAAAAATTGAAAACTCCATTTCACCCCCTCTTAGAGTATTTGAGCTAACAATTGGTATCAAAGTAAGGGTTCCAATCAAGAAGGCTTAACAACCTTGTAGGCCAAAAACTTGATGCACTAAAATCACCATAGCAAGTGTACTAGTCGCCCCAAGTAATATAATGATGAGAAGAGTGTCGAACCCATGAGGATTGTGTCTAACTAAGTACCAAAACAATTAATCCAAATTTATTTGAATAACCAAATCGGAAGAAAGTTTAACTAAAAAAATAATAAAAAGAAAATAACAAATAAACCTAATCAAGATAGAAGGTACTAAGGCATTGATTTCACCATAATCAATCAATATAAATTCTGGATTATCAAATTGTTGAGTGTTATTGCATGTGATGGCGGATTT